GCATAACAAAAATAATTAACAGTTTCATTTTCAGAGCTGTGTAAATATTGACCATCTAATCTTCACAGCAAACTGGAAAACTAGTTACTGTCTCCAGAACCCTAAATTACACGATCCTGGAGCTGGAGCTCCCTAGATCCTTCCCTTGGCTGTTCTCCTGACTCTGTGGTAGCTCTTCAACATACTCCCTGCTCATTGTTCTCTTCATAAAGTGACACTGAGCTGTCTTCTGAAGACCACTTTGCTTTTCTCCATCTCTCTTTCCCTTTTTGAAGTGAGGGACCATCACCTCTCCTTTCTTCAGTCCTCTGCTAGTTTGTCCATTTTGGCTGTACACTAAAATCACAACAGAGTGGGAGGGGGGTTACAATGGGTGCACCACAAGTCAGGCTTGGACTGGGGCTCCTCAGACATTGCTACAATGAAAAATTGGGTGTACCCATTGGAAAGTAATCACAGGAGTCACCTGATACAGGGTTTTGGTCATTATTTTCTTGAGGTGTTTTCTCCAAATATTGATGTTTCAGGGAAACACAAGAAATATATTTAACTGCCCTTAATTCTTTTGTGCAATTTCTGCCCCAGGGTGTTAGACACTATTACTGTGTGCCGTTAAATATCTATTGGGTTTATTCCACAGTGACTAAAATAATTATTTTTCTAGTTACTAAAGCATTTGGAGAGCTTCCAGGATGAAAGTGAATATAGAAATGCTAAATATTTACTATTCTAATAGACAGCCATCAGTGCTTTATGAACTATCCCATTACATCCAAAAAAATATCATTGTGATTTCACAAATGGAATCTTGAGAACATTTGCTTTAAATTGAAAGACTCTATTCCTGCTATATCAAGAACACTGTTAATATCGATCCCAGTGCTCTACAGAGCAAACTAATCTTTTCATTGTGGTACTATTGAAAATCTGGTCTAGTATGCTAGTAAAACTGCATCTTTCAAAGTTACCAACACTGAGAAAGCAAATCGCTACATTTTTCATTAATTAAAAATGGCTTATAATAACATTAATGATCTTTTCATCAGAGTACGTAATTTAGGTAATGGCAGCCTACCCCATTAACTTCCCCGGCTTTACCTTGGCCTTCTAACTCCTCCAACTGGTTATTACCTAATTTGTAAAGTCTCCCAAATGGGTCATTAGCTCTTAAAGAGATGTCTCCTGCTGTTTGGTATATACTCTAGAAACAGTAGGCTGTCAGAGAGTGAGCTGGTTTCAAAGTAGCTCTTTCTGGGGGGAAAAAAAAAAGTTAAAGAAATGCCAGATTAAATCAAGTTTGTGAAATGAATCATGGCTTGAAATATCCCCAATACATGACTAAGACATCACACAGATTTTTTTTTTTTCCCACAAAAGAGGACTGGCAGCAGAGCATATGCCAGCATATGTGCCCTTGTAAGCACCTGCAATTCCTACTGCTTCCAATCCCTAACAGCAATTGTGCAACCAGGCAGCCATCTAATGTGCTAAACTAGGAAACCAAGGAGAAAGGCTCACAGGGCCAGGCCCTGTACTCCTCATACAGAGACCTTCCCTCTCAGCTTCCCTAGTGCAAACTAGAAATTGTGAACCAAAGGTAGATTAGCCTGACACCGTAAGACCAGCAGCATTTGGTTCAAGTCCATGAACATCCAGGACAACACTACACTGACCAACCAATTAGTGATAATATCTGCTGCCAAGAGAGAAAAGCAAAAGATCCTTTGGCCTTTCTTGGCCATAGATTACATGTTCAGGTTTGTGGGGTTTTTTCTTTACAATATGATGTAGGGCAATGAGATGAAAAAAGTCCATGTGACTAAGTAAAAACTCTTTGTACTAATGCACTGATCCACAAGCTATTCCTGTCAGACAGAATAAGGGACCACTGGCTGGCAATATCTGCACTGCAGGAACTTTGAATGCAGAGGTGTTGAAGAAATTACGTGTTTCCACACAAAGAATCATAGCACCATAGAGTGGTTTGCGTTGGAAGGGACCTTAAAGCTCACCTCATTCCATTCCCCTGCCATGGGAAGGGACACCTCCCACTGGTTGTAAATCTCTCAGACTCTCTCCTCCTCTCCGTTTCTCTCAGTTTTACTTATTTTCACTGCAATCATCACCTCTTTCTGAAATTAAGCTACTCTGTACTAATTCTACCTGGTTTGCTGAAATGGCAACACCTATGTTTTATGCCCTTAGCAAGGACAAGACATGTGGTGTCCTCTGAAATTAAAATCAATGTCTCGTATGTCCCAGTATTATGTGGATCTGCAGAACATTAATTAACATACAAAAATCAACATTCCCACTGCTGTTTTCAAAGCAAACAAATAGCTCTCACTCAGTATGAAATTCTCAACTTCCCATTTCCATAATTTTCCCTGGAATAAGTCATGTAAACGTTGTAGGTACTTTGGTCACTATGACCTTTATGCAACATCAGAGGCAACAGATAATCCCTAGGCTGAGAAATAGGGGACTCTGTGATCAAAGACTTTCAGTAATTTTCCAGAAATTCCTTTTTATGTAAGAAATCTGTTTCATAACTTGTTCTGACAAATGTCACGGCTGGAGAAATTCTTTCTCTCAAGGAAGATTTATGTTCCATAGGAAAGTCTTTCTCTGTATTCTTCAGAAGAATGGATTCAACAAATACAAACTGCTCATTGATTTGTGTGTCTCCATGTTCCGCACAAAGAAATAAAATACAGGAATGAGAAAATGACAATACTCATTATCTACAGGTAACTTTTTGGCACCAAAATATCATCCAGTGTGATCAACTAGAAAGTGCTGAGGTACAAGCATAAAATGATGCAGTAGGAACTGGGTTTTCTGCAGGGAAACCTCTGTTTATGTTCTTCATGCTGGTCACAATGTTGGCAGGCACATCAATAGCAGCAGACGGTTTTGAGTAGGGACTGCCAAAACACTGCACGCAAAAGGTTGCCCCCTTCATGGGAGGATTTCAACTAGGATCTCTTGAGAGGTCAGGGCAACAGCTGAAATGTCACAGAAGACAGCACAGAGTAGATGTAATTGTAAGGATAAGCCACTTCAGGACTTGTCACCTCTGAACAGCAAAACAGAAATGAGAATTTAAGTCTCGTTAACCAGCAGCAACCATAAACCTGGGATGCAGCTCAGTTTTCCTCTGACTGGGTCACAAATGCCTTGGCAGCTAATGGGTTGATGACCCAAGGCTCAGCTTGGCCAAGGGCCACAACACAGATCTTCTGAACTTGTACTGATGAGGACTGAGGCCATCTGTGCTTTTAAGTGGGTTTTCGAGGGGATAAGTTTAGTCAGCCTGCAAAGGACAAATACAACTGCAAAACCTGAGCAAGAACAGTCAGTAAGGTCTTGTTTTGAGAATGCCTTTGAATAACTTTTATGCTCAAAGTTAAATGCTGCTTGAGTTCTTCCCTGAATGAGGACTGAATGCCAAAAGTATCAGACTTGGGGGGTAATGAGAGGTTGTCAGTTGACTCCACTGGGATATGGTACCATGTCTTGCAAGATGCTTTTTTTAGTCATTACTACGTGGATACACCTGAAAATAAGATGAGGGCTACAACGGAAAACATTTAAATGCATTCTGATCTCCAGGAATCAGCAGTAAATTTCAGTCTCTCCCTCTGAGATGGACCTGATGTCACGGCCGTATTTTTGGCTGTAGCATTCTTAAACTGCCCAGACACTCAATTCAAACTAAGGGTATTCAGCACTTTTACACCTCTGAAGAGAACCACCGTGTTTGTAGTTTGCATATAAATCTGAGAAAAGTAAGTCTTACCACTGAAGGATGATGCTCTAGGCAATAGAATATTCTTTTCTGAAGTCAAACAGCTGCTGCTAAATTATAGTTAGCCTCCTAAGGACATGGAACATTTTAAATCATAAATGTCTGGAGTGTACATAGCAAAGAATAAGTAATTTTGAACAATATGCATGACAAATGCAAAAAGTATTACTTAGTGACCTAGATTTTTAAAATGCCCAAGACAACATTCAAAAGTAACATGATCCTCAGTCTCTATGCTCATCTCTTTGGTCAGGCTGAATACCCCTATTACTGGTAAACAGTATGACCTGGAAGAAAAAAAAAGCCTTTATGCAATCCAACTGAAGACAAACCTGAGATGTTTTAATATTTGGTTTGCATTTCTTCTACCACTTGTGAGTTTTGCCAATTCAGTATTTTTATAATAAAATCCAAGTATCATTTGCTGATGAAAAAGGCATTGTAGCATATTTCCAATGCATAGGGTATTTAAGTCCAGGTAAAAGTAAATCAGCTATAAATTAGTGTATTTCACATACAAAAATGCTCTTTATGTTAACACTTTAGTTTACAAACTAGTCTCAAACTGTTGGCAATTTAAACAACCTGCACTTGGCCAAAAATAATACCCATCATTTTTTAGTTACTGCATAACTCCAACAGCATTTCTCTTTGTAACATGCTCATCAGACCAATAAGCACAGTGATCATTGGCTATTATCAGCTGGAAGTGGAAAATGAAAACAGCTTCAGTATTCCTTGTTCTTCCTTATTCCCCTTGTTTCAAGGAAGGCATAGTGGTTACTTCAAGACAACAGCTGGAGTTCTCCCCCCGAAATAAGCCCCAGCAGCTGGCTCTTGTGCTTTTGAAACAGCTTGCTGAACTATTTGCACCACTTGCATGTTCCCACACAGGAAAAGCCCCACTCCCATGTGCTGCAGTTGAAGACTGATGCTGAGCACCACTCAGCAGACACCAACTTACAGGAACTGTTTCTTTGGTCATGCATTGTTTAATCACAAAACACGACGGTCCATAATGGACAAGATTTTTCTTCATCCTGAGCTATGGCAACCCTTCCAGGTTATTCCAATGTTGGGCCATACATGTTGATGTACACCCCACCCTACTTGTCGCTGAGCCGGTAACACTGTCCCAACAGTGCCGGCTGTTGCAATAGGCACTCAATATCCATGTGAAGACATGTAATTATTTCCCTGTATATCCAGGGTATGGAGGGGGAGGGGGATACTGTATTGAAGTCTGTGGGGTTGGAGTATAAGGTGGAGGTAGGTCAGCTGGGTACTCCATTTCGAATTCATAACTGTATGGTGGTGGAGCCACTGCAATGGGAGAAAAAAAAGACATAGTTAAAAGTCTGTTTTTCAGATGCAGGCCTCAAGTGTTTCCTTGTTGAAATCCAGATTTCCACACAATTGATACAAAATCTCCTGGCAATGCACTCAGTTGTTTTTCAGGCTGCCCTTATACAGTCACTTCACATCAATGCGAGTCTTTGCTTTTTGCCCTTTCCTTCCCTTAGCTGTGTGCCACCAACGCTATGCTGGTAACAGTGTTTTGAATGTCTGTATAGCAGATGTCACCAAGGGAGGAAGGCTGGGTGTATACCAGATCCACTCCCTTCCACCTCCTTCAGCAGCAACACGGAATTTATGTTGCCCCAAAATGACAGGGCAGCCAGGGCTCTTGATTTCCACAGACCTCTCAAACACCCTCTGGATCCCCAGGAGATGTGTGACATTCCACACCATGGTAAGCACAGCAGCATCTCACCTCCCAGGGCAAACACCGGACATCCCACCATGGCTTGGGCTGAGGAAGAACAAAGCTTTCTCCTTGTTCATACCCATGGAGACATCTGAGGAGAGCCCAGCATTTGTAAACTGGGTCAGGCATTTAGGAGACAACAAAAATATTCACAAGCAGCTGAAAACATTTTCTCAACTACTTCTAGTCACCTTAGAGAAGACAGATCCATTCAGTGACAAAAGACAGTAAATGTTGCAGAATGACAGCATGGTAGGAACTGCAGGCTCCCATGTCAACATCCCATTAGAGCAGTCTCTAAAATTTTAAGGTCCAGAGTCTGCTCATGTGACTATGTCACTGTTAAGGTCCTGAGTCTGCTCATGTCTCCATTTATGTCACCACGGATGCTTTCCTGTTCCCTCCCAAGATGTCTCAGGCAGACTGGCAGTGAAATAGCACTCGCATACAGAGAAAACAGAAACCCAGGATGTTTGTGATGGGGGGAAGAGACTCAAATCCCAGTGTGCCATGGAAAGCACGCTCTGCTCTCAGAAAACTGGGCTGTTGCTGTGGCTGAGGCCATTCCTGTCCAAAACAGAGGGAGGGTTGGTCACAAGCCCTTCAGCCAAAGCCAGATCAGTCATTACTCCAAAAGTGTTCATGACAGCAGGGAACACAAAAATCATTTCAGAGCTTCCTCATTCTCTAAAATCTGCTGCTGCTGCTGAGAGGAAGAACTGCTCGAACTAATGTTTGCACCAGGAACTGGGAGCGTGTGGAGTCAAACTGCCTGGAGGTGGAGAGATAAGGGTGAGTCATTGCAGGAGCAGACTTGGGGAGGAAAAGGCTAGAACCTTGGAGTTTTCAGTTTGCTCTTGTTTTTACAGCTTGCAGCAACTATGAGTTTCTGAAGTAGCTCTTCAGCAATACATGGTTGAGAATATTGCTGTTTTCTGTCATTTCACATCTCTCTATGCAAAACAGTGTTGCAATTACAAAGATGATTATAGAAGCTTTCAGTTCAACTGGAAAGTAAGAGCATGAGGGAGAAAACAGACACTAAGACTGGCAAGTGTGATAAAGGAATATATAATAAATATTGCATAGATTGCCTATAAGTATACATAATCCACCTGGGGTTTGCTGCAACCTTTGCAACAAGAGGGACTATAAAGGCAGGGAATCTCTAACAGTGGGATGAGGGGACTTCATGCATGAAACACCTTTGCATTTTATTACTGTGAACTCTCAGAGTTATCCCAAGGCAATCGCTCCTGGATTTATAATTAACAATGTCACTGAATTGCATAAACATCATTATGCTGCTTCCAGGGTCTGCTTTGCTCTTCAACAATGCAGCCACTTTCATGTGCTAGGTGGGGAGTCCAGACAAATGAGCCTTGCAGACCCCAGCTGGCTCAGTGCCACCTCTTTTGGTGCTCCTGTTCCCCAGCCCCAGACTGGTGTGAGTTGACAAGTGTGGTGCAGTGGGTGGCTCTGCAACAAAGCTGGCTCAGATACAGCCTGATGTACCAGCTTGCACTCATTATGGACACAACTGCACTGCACCAGACCCACAAGGGGTCCCTGCTGTCCTCTGGGGTGCCCCAGAGCCTGTGACAGCTTATCAGCTCAGTGCCAGACCTGGTTTAGGCTCTCCACCTCCCCTGCTGCTGCCTGCGCCTAAAAAACCATTACATCAAACCAGTGTGAACCCACAGAGAAGACTGAACTGAGAACTCCAATACTCAGCCAACTTTGACCAAGGCACAACAGGCATCTCTGCACCATGTCCATGCCTGTGGCAGGAGGTTAGAACCAGAAGATCTCTAAAGTCCATTCCAACTCAAGCCATTCTAAGACCTATGACCACGCTCCAAATTCCTATCAGTTCAGTTTAGGCATGGTGCCAGGTGGATACAGAGAGCTATTTGGATCCAGCCCTGCATCCCAGCCAGCAGTCCCTCCTGGGACACACAGCACAGAACACCCTGCAGAGATGTCCATGTGCCTTTGTAGAAGTCATGGGGGATCCTGCAGCACCCAGCACGGTTCAAGAGCCCTGACCAAGTACCAGCCAGGTCAGGTTGCATTAGACCTCACATCACCACTTTAAGCCTTTGCACTCTGACCCACAGTCCTTATTGTCCAGGTTTTCCCCTCTCTGTGGTATGCCGGGCCCCCATTATATTGGACAATGAAAAGGAGCTGGCTACATGTGAACAAGAACAAATACAAGAACCAGATCACAAAAGAAGAACAACTGATCTGCTGCCAGAGAGCCTCTGGCTCAGGGAGGTCTGTCCTGCACAATGCAGCACTGCCCTGAGCGAAGACTCAACACGCTCCTGCAGGCACTGCAAGGCACACAGCTGTGTGAGTGTGGCACCTGGCCAGACCTCATTAGCCCACTGAGCAGCTGAATAAATCAGCCCAGGCACAGTGATGCACTGACAGACACTGTGCACATGGAGCTGTCCTGTGTTTCTCAGCAGGGAGCTGTGCTGTCCCCCTCTGGACAGAGAGGAGCCTCCTGCTGTAGTCACATCCCTTGCTCACTGTGGAGCTGTAAGTACCCAAAGGCAACACTCCTGCCATGACCACAGGCACTCTTGCAGGGCTGTCACACTGCCCCCTTACCTGGGTACGTGCTGATGGTGTTGATGTGCGTGGTCCGGATGACCCCTACTCGGGTCCCACGGTTGCTCTTCATGCACATGCAGATACAGATGGCAATCCCAGCTATCACTCCCATTATAAACACTATGCCAAAAACAATTCCAGCTATTGCTGTGCCTCTGCAAGAGGAATGGAAACATGCAGTCAGTCTCAGCCAAATAATGTTTACAAAACAAATTTTTTTTCTCAGGAACAGCTCATATTTAAGAAAATAAATGAATACTGACAACTGAAAATGCTGCAAATTTTGATCCATCGGGGCATGTGAATAGCAAAAGTGAATGATCTCAGAGACCAAAATGAGAAACACTTCCAAAGTTGCCTTTGCAATTGTGCCAGATCACTCTGGTTATTTACCATATATTAAATCCTCCCATTCCAGGGCCATTTGAATTTAACTACTTTTAAATACTATCAAGAATAATTCCTTCCCTCAAAGGCATTGGTATGATATTCTTTTGAAAAGAAAGCACAAGTTATACCCAGTAATATATTCCAGAAGCATCCATATGCATGCTGTGCTTCCACAGGAATACTGTCATTGTTTCATCTTAGGTCAAAAAGTCCTTCTGTTGTGCTTCTAAGCCCACAGATTAAGGAGAGCCTCCTCTTCTCCAGGATGAGTGGCACGAAGCAAAGCGAATGCCCACTCTTTCACACATCTGCCACTGCAGCCAGCACAAGTGTTTGAGGCTTATATGATTTCTTTTAAAATGGTCCAGAGGAAATTTAGCTCAGCCCCTGAAGTAATGAATCAGACATTCCTTGAAATTATAATATAGAGAAAGGAAAGAAAGCCTTAGTGCACTGACACACTGGAGAAAAACCTCACCAAGAGGCACTGAAGAGCTCCCAGGAATAGTCAGGGCAAAATCAGCCTTTCTGATGAACCCTACTTCACTCAGGTTTGTTGTCAGCCACAGGCAGTGAAGCATATGTTACATGAAAGATGGTATTTACAGCCCACCCTTTTATGAAAAAAGCCCAGTGACTTGCCAGAAATATTCCTACTCTGTGCATCTCTTCATCTCCCAGCAAAGTCTTCCAATAGCAACCTTGCTGACAACCTTTTCACTGGATATTTAATCAATCCAAACTGTTAGTTTGTGAATGTGAATAAGCCCCACTAGGAATTACTGCAATCTATAGAATAAAACAAGCTCTGCAATACTAAAAACATTAAAAGGAGTCTAAACCATAGCTCAGCTCCCCCATACAGGCATGGAAACACATAGCAGGCCCAATTTTCAAAATGCTGATAGCCCGTTGGCTTCCAAACACTCAGCAAGAGTCAGGATGAACTCAATAGCTGAAAAACAAGACCTTTTGTGTAGGAGCCTAAATATGAATTTAAGAGCTTGTTTTTAGGCCCCAAATATTCAGGAACTTGGCCAAGATTTGCAGTACAATCACTGAATTGTACAGCATAAGTAAACACAGACCACTTGCTGTCTTACTGAAATACACTTCCAGGGAGCTAAATTGTTCTCTGCTGTTATGTAGCAATGAATGAAGAGTGTGCAGGGAGAGTAAACCTGCTAATATTTTGCAGAATATATAAAGACCTATTTTACAAAAGCTTAATCATGACAGCAAACACCTGGCCATAAAACCAGCAGCTCAAAACACTGATGTGCTAAAGTGTTTGGGTATTAACCACCATGAGTAGCTGAGGAACACATCTACAATAGCTCGCATCTAACAAAAAAGGAAGTATGATGCTCTTGGAAGATGTGATCAAGAGACTTCCAATTTTCCCATCCTGCTCTCTCTGGGAACATTATCACTACCTTGAGAGAAACTGCCATATGAGACAACAGTTTGGTTCAGGAGACACTTTAACACAATACTCTCTCCATTCCAGAAGGTTTTCTAATAATACCACAATTAAAAAATCACAGCATCTCTATTATAAACAGCAGTCATTAGCTACTGCTCTTGCTCCATCCCCTTAGTGGATGAATTATGTGAGCTCTGCATCCCAGAGTTGCACTTACACTGAAATAATCCCTCTCCCAGGTGGATTCCCAGCAGCAGAACCAGCCACTGCTGACCACTGGCCTCCTGTCCTAAATTGCACTTCTGCTTTGTTTATGGTCCACTGCTGCCCGTGCATCCTGGGCATGCTCCTGCATCCCTGGGACACTCTGCCTGGCTGATCTTCTCAAATCCCAGAAAACACAATAGTTTCTTGCACTTCCAACCAGCTGCACCCTGAGGAAAACTCAACCTCCATCATAAAAACTCACAGAAGTGGGTAACACGCAGCACATGTTACCTTCCCAGTGCTAGATTAAGATTCCTGGATTAACAAAGCCCATTTTAAACACAGTTTTAAAACTGTTTGTCTCAGCTGTCTCCAAAAGCAAAGGTATCCTGTTTGCTCCAGAAGTGGTCAGCCAGATGCCACGTGACATCTGCCCTGAGAGATATGCTGCACTCTTCATGGGCAAGACAGCTGTAGAAAGTCCCTCTGCATCTGTCTGCATCTGAAGGCCTCTCAGCCTAAACAGAACTATACTGAAAAGCAAAAGCCACTTCTGCCAGCCTAGCAAACCCAGGTCAGCAAGTAAAACAAGGAATTCTAAGGCATTCTTTTGCTGATCCTCACCATAGCTACTGCTGGTATAGCCATGAACCAGAAACAAAAATGGTCATCAAAGAAAATATTCACCAGCTGAGCTTTGCTGACAAATCTGGCCAGTGCAAGTCTTGCTCACAGTTCTGAAATCAGGACAAAAAAGCGGTTTAAATAGGCAGACCCACTTCTGCCTGTGGATTCAGGTTTTCACACTGCAGTGGTAAATTTAGACCACCTATGGATGGTTACGCAAAGAGAGCCTAAGAGACAGAGCAAAAGATATAGGTCACTTTTAAAATCCAGTTACAGCCTGACTGAGTACCAGGACAGAGGTGCTCACGGGTCCCAGTGGGCTTCAGATCAGACCCAGTGCCACGCACATGAAACTGTTCCAGGAATCAAGCATTTGACTCGAAAAGGACCTGTTTGAGAGGACTTAGGGAGATGTACTCTCGCATATGTATATAACAGAACACATATATAACACTATGCCAGTCTCTGACAATGAGTAAAAATGTAAACCCACCCTGATTCAGAGACCTGCAGCCCCTCACAATGGCCTCCAGTGAAACCAGGAGCAGTCTGACTCCACACATCAGGTTGCACCTTCTCAGCACCAAATCCTGGCAGGACAATGGTCAGCCTCCATTTCTGCTCCTTGGGTTCTGCCCTAACTTCACATGTGGTATGGTATGGTGGTTAAAAAAAGGGAGAAAATATTCTCTCCCGGCCTTCTCCGAAGAGTTGCCTCCTCAGCAACTTTCTGGCACAGATAGGTTGGTTTCATTTTTAACTCACTGGATTTCTTCTCTGCAAATCTGTCCAGCCTCATCCTAAACTCATGCAAATTTTAGCATCCACAGCCTCACACGGCAAAGAGTTCCCCAACTTAACTGTAACAGAATCATAGCATGGTTAGGGCTGGAAAGGACCTTAAAGACCATCTCATTCCAAACCCCCTGCTGTGGGTAGGGACACCTTACAGCAGACCAGGTTGCTCCAAGCCTTGTCCAACCTGGCCTTGAACACCTTCAGGTATGGAGCATCCACAGCTTCTGTGGGCATCCTGTGCCAGTGCTTCACCATCCCCTGAGTAAAGAACTTCTTCCTAATATCTAATATAAACATGCCCTCTGTCAGCCTAAAACCACTGTGTGCCTGACAAACTGTGCCCTCTGGACTATTCTGAACTGAATGCCCAATAGTTTCACGTGAGGCTCCCAGCCTCCAGCTCGTCACCCACCAGCAAGCCCTTCCTTCTGCATAGTCCATGGTTTTACAGACCTTTAGCATCCCCCCCCAGCAGCCAACTCTTCCATATCCTGTAGGAGCCCAGTATCTCTTGGTTGTTCTGCCTACAGAGGGACCTCTTCACGCCTTGATCACCCCAGCCACCCCTCCTTGCACTTTTTCTAAACCTCTTCTGTTGTTTTCTGAGAGCTGCAGAGCTGCACAGTAACATTTGTTGTATTCTTCACTATTTCCTTCCTAAATAATCCACAATATTAGATTTATTTTTTTTCTTGGTTATCAAACAGTGGGAAACTAAGGTTTTATGGCTCTATTTACCATGGTACCAAGTCTCATTTCTGGGAGATAATGTCCGTCCAGAGCCCACCAAGTCTTGTGGGAGTTTGGGTTGTTTTCCCCTGGATGCATTATGTAGTATTTACAGGTCCTGGATTTTCTGATACAGTGCCTAGACTTGTGTCCTCTACTGGAGGACACAGGCTCAAAGTAGCACAGGTGAGCTTGAGCCACCGGTTTTGCCAAAGCCCTGCTCACTCTATAATACTGTATCAATTTAGAAACTATTATTGCAGAGGGGGCAGTGCTCTGCATTTATATTGGCATAAAGGTCTCTTCATCCTGTAATTGCTCACGTTAGCAATTTTACAGCAATTTGATCGAGCATGGCAAGTTGTGAGAAGCATGTGAGGATCAGTATTCCCACTCTGCCTTCGCTATATTCATTACCATATTACTGCAAGGAAGACACGCCATTCTCAGTCTTCTCTTTGCTCAGCTGATCTCTTCCATCTCATCATCTTTCCTAATTTCCAGTACTTTATTAGTTCTCCAATTAATTTATTGCCAACTCTGTATCTATGATTTGCTGGCACTGCATCTCTAGAATAATATTAATAACAATGCATGCAATGCATTTTGGAATACTACTGCTAATATTAATAAATGCCCTTTATTTTTTTTCCCCTTTCAGGCATTCAAAAAGAAGCTGATAAGGGATTTTTTTAAACTCATTCTCTGAGATAAAATAAAACACAAAAAAATCGATGATCTTTGATATTCTGATCCAGCCATTCATGTTTGGGAAAAAGTACTCCTTGGACTCTTAATCAGACTTGATGTGATTTTGGAGAGAGGCGGTGTTGGGCTATTTATTTGATTTGGTTGGCAAACCCCGGGTTACTTGGACCGACAGCAGAACTGCAGCAGGGTCACGTGCCATTTCCTCCTGCCTCCACCAGAGCAGGCAGGCCTGTTCTGGAGGGTTTGCCCCTCCCCACAGTTGTCCCT